TCACCTAAATTGTACCTTTTGTAGAATTTCAGTTTTAATAAAATTCACTTAATAGTTTCTGAAAAATTATTGATATAAACTATTATATCAGACTAACTAAAGATCAAAGTTCACCCTGCTTAGGTAGGTATAAAATTATTAAATAAATGCTGTACATTTTTCTTTTTTTTGTATTCTAATATATTTAAAATATTTTTTACTTGCATGGTTTTGTATAGGAAGTTCAATGAAGAAAGTATTTACTGTCTATGTTTCCTTTCTGGCCACTTAACTGTTTGTTTTAATTCATGATTATTTCAGAAAATAGTTTTGGCTATAGGGGCGGTTGTTTAAAGTGATACACTCTGGGCACCGGAGATGCCAGGTACATGCTAGTCATGGAATACACATGCTGTAACAATAAAGTAGTGATTTTCATAAGAATTTTTAAAATGAGAGTCCTACAGTTATTTAAAAAGGTGTGCTTCCTCATGAAAGCCTGGGACTGGTAGGTTTCATCCTTTTACTGAATGTATTTATTGAAAATTCCCTACCATTAGAAATGAATGTTTGAGAAAAACAGCAGCTGTGATCTTCATCCCTCTTCAGAAAATGTTTGTTTGACAAGACAAACCCCTTGGGGACAGCTTTGGATGTACTGAGGGTCATAAGATGGATATACATACTTCAAAAACAGGAGCAAGGAAGTGCCAAGTGGAAAGTTAGAGTCATGCCCTTTAGCTCTGTGCATTATTCCTGCTCTGCACCCATCAGTCTGAGTCTCAAGGAGATAAGAAGTGTTGATATCTTCTTTGTACAAAGAGTACTCTTGATGACCTTCAGTGCCCATTGGCAAGCCTGCATTCATGTATTCACTCCTCCGTTGAAGAAAAGTTCCTATGCTAGACAATGCAACAGTCAATGATCCTCATTCTGCCCTTAAGAACATGCAGGAACCACAGTGATGTTCCTCTAATCCCACTGCAAATCAGTGACAGTCAGGACTGACAGCTAGCTTCCACGCTTAGCCCACTTTGTGCCCTCCTCCCAGGCACACAGTCATATGCTGGAACTAGAAGGGATGTTCAAATGTGCTCCTAACATTGGGTGATAGCCTGACGCTAAAGGGAAAGGTAATATATTGTGGTTTTATAGTGTCAACTGCATACTGATGGAAATGAAATTGTATATGTGCTTGTGTGTAGGCAAGGGTGTTGGTTAAGAATTTTCCTATTTTTGTAGTCCAATCCTTTCACCCTAGTTTAAAGACATTGACAGCCAGTGACATAGGGTGGCAATCTAAACAGCACACAAGGTATTAGCCTTTGAACAACCAAGTTCAAATGAGTATTCTCATTTTTAGCAATTTACATGACCCTTATAAATGTTCTGAAAGAATCAGGTTCTGTGTTTTCTTATAGTGGGTGAGCTAAGTTTAAACCTCTCCCACTTAATTCTTATTCCAGTTACTCTGAAATGGCTGGTGGTCTCAATGTCACTATTTCAGAAAACAGTGATCCGAGTTGTGTATCAATTCCCTGAATCTGCCATGAGATTCCTGGCCTCTCTGCACTTGCCCTTCTATTTCCTCAGACTTAAAATAACTCCCCATTCACTGCTCTAATTATCAAAGAGCTACTCATTCACCAAGATTCAGCTCAAATATAATCTTTCCATTAAGCCTTACTACAAGAGTCCCAGCTGAAGTTAAACCTCTGCATACCCAAGCAAAGTTTGCACCTCTTTATAGTATTAGTTATATCATCTCCCATTTTCAAGCATCTTTATTTCCCACTAGAAGACCAGACCCTTGAAGGGAGGCACCTTGTTGTATCTATTACTATACCCGCTCACAACTAGCATACAAGGTCCCTCTGAGCCTTGCTTTCAGCTCAGAGAAACTTGAAGACAAAGAGTGGTGGATAGTAAATTTATTCCAGAAAAGTGGCCTTGTTAATCTGTCTCACCAATTAAATGCTAAGCTCCTTGAGGGCAGGAAGGTCATAACTGTCCTGTTGCTTTTCCACAGTGCTGGCTCAGAGCTATAGTCTCCAAAAAATATGACTGCCTTATCCAAGTAAATGAAGACGGAAGTTAGGAGGCTGAGAGTGTCTTTTTACTTTAGGGAGAGGATGGACTTCTGGAAACAAGGGTTTCACTTGGCCTTTCTGCCTCTGGCCTCTTGTTTTTTTTGTCATAAGTTTAACCGCATCCAAGTGTTATATTGTTAGGCAGTTCCTTTTGGTAAATATCTTATCCTTTCTCTTCGCTTTTCTGAAAGCCTCATCCTCATAAATAGGCTGTTAGTTTACTTTCAATTTCTTTCTGAATTTTTGGAAGCAACTGAATTAGGAAGTCTTAATATAAACTTGTTTGAGGTCTCAAAGCGGTTATATATACATAATATTCAGGGGTCTCTAAAAGTCCTCTGCAAGTCCATTGTGTCTGTCTGATGCCTGGAAACTCAATCAGGTTTTATGAGCAGGGGTTGGTGAGATGTGAGCAGAAATTATTCATGTCTGTTGTGAGAGGTCTATTGGGTGTTAGGAAATAGCTAAAAATGAGAATATTCATACTGACAAGGGCATAGAAATAAAGTGGAATTTTATTTTACATAATGCCAAGTAAAATTGTCCCCCTATCCACCATTTGACTAGTCTTCAGCCCTCTGTCTTTAAAAGAGTATTTTGGCTATAATCTCAATTATGCTTATGTCATTATAACCTATGATATTGCAAATCCAAATCCATTTAGAAGAATGCTTGAGGATGAATGAAAGAAATTAATGAAGGAGACGGATTAGATATTTTGCTAAGAGGGTAGTTCAAAACAGGGAAAGGCAAAGTCAAGAAAGAACTGTAAGATGTTAGGAAGGAACCTTAAAGAGAAAACCTTAACCTTAACTCTACTGGGAAAAGAGAAAGGTATTATCCACTACAAAGTTCTTAAGGAAGGGGAATCTGGTTTAGTTTAGATACTTTACCAGTGCATGGAATCAGTTCAGTAACAGAATAGTCTGTAATTTATACACAATCATGACGCAACAGATGCAAAAATGTTGTCACAGATGGGCACCATTTCTCATGCTCATGTGCGTGAGTTTCAAAAGGGACAATGTAGGCCAGCAATTATCAGAGAATGAATACTTCCCCATAAATGTACATTCTAAGTAATTGAAGTTTGCTCCTTTGAGGCCGAAATTTTTTTTGAAGTAATCATTTCTGATTAAATTCTTTGTAAAACAGATAAAAATTTTTTGTCTCAAAAATGAATGTACTAAACAAACTTTAAAGTTTTATTACTGATTCAATCTTATAATTGTGAACATAGTTATTATAGTCATACCTTGGAGATGTCATGGGTTCAGTTTCAGAGCACCACAGCAAAGCAACTTTCACAATAAAGTGAGTCAAATGAATTTTTGGTTTCCCAGCACATATGAAATTATGTTTACAGCTATACTGTAGTCTATACTGTAGTGCAACAGTATGTCTAAAAAAAATAATGTATACACCTTAATTTAAAAACACTTTATTGCTATACTGACCATCATCTGGATTTTCTGCAAGTCATAATCACTGATCACAGGTCACCATAACAAGTATAATAATAATGAAAAAGTTTGAAATACTGCAGGAATTACCAAAACGTAACACAGAGACACAGGGTGAGCAAAGGCTGTTGGAGAAATAGCGCCAATAGACTGGCTTGATGCAGGGTTACCACAAACCTTTAATTGGTAAAAAATGCAGTATCTGTGGAGTGCAATAAAGTGTAGCACAAGAAAATGAGGTATGCCTGTTCTGTGTATTATAGAACACTATTATTCCCTCTGGGATAATTAGGAAATGATAGTAGAATCATAAGAATTATGAATGAAATGGGATAAATTTTGGATCTTGCAATAGCTACTTTGCTTGCTTTGAGAACATTTCTTTTTCGTGTATTTTGGTCCTCAGTTATAGCCCAGATGTTGAGGTTACCAGGTAAATATTTTCATGCTTGAGTTAAGGGTAACAGAACTTATTCAATAATATAGAGAATTTTTAAAAATGATTTTCTCAGCTGCAAGTTATATGCAATTGACAGTTACTAACATAAGGTTCATTGAAGATAATAGAAAAATCTGTTTCCAAGAAAAACTCTCTCCACCAAAACAAAGGAAGACATATTTCCTGCATGTCAGGTCAGAAAGCAGAATTAAAAAAAAAAAAAGTGGATCACTGATCTTACTCCTACTTGGCAAAACATAAAACATTCAGGTTATCTCAGAACATCCTATTTTCAGACAATTGTCTTGAGTTGTATGTCTCCTACACAGAAAAAATCATGGAAAAAATTAAAGTCTTTGAAAAACAAGTAAGAAAATTTTCAAGTGCCAAGCATTGTAAAGAAATAGTTGTCTACAAAAATCCCTCTCTCCCACTCATTGTGATATACCAAAGCTAATAAAAGAAAATGTTATCACTACTCAAGAAACAAAGAGGGAGTCATGGTTAATGAATTATAGAGCAATGACTCTGGTAGGAGTTTAAATATGGATTCTCCTAATCAGAATATCACTTCAGGGAAGATTTTTATTACCTCAGTTTCCTTATCTGTAAAATAGGGTTTATGATAATATATAGTATTTTTGTTGTGAGAATTAAATAAATTAAAGTATTTAATGTATTTTGAACAGCCCCTGAAATATAACTGACAAGAAATTGTTTTATTATTTTCTATTATTGGAGTAGCTATAATTAAAATAAAGCATAATAAAATTTCATTATAAAAATAACAGTAATTTCTCAGAAATTGAGGAAATTGTTGAATAATCAAGGACATTATTTATTTGATTTTTTTCAACAAGTATTTATTATGTGCCAGACACTCTGCTAGTGAGGGCTAATGCACTGGAAAAAGTTACCTGGGAAAATTACAGAATTATACTTGAGGAATCTTTGGCAGAAACTGTTGAAGTGGCAAACATCCAGTCCTTCCAGAACAGATTTAATTTTAATTTTGTTTTCATCTTTCAGGGGAAAAACCATGTAATGAACAACTTTATGTAAGAAGATATTCCAAATACAGTGTCTCAGAAGGGGAGCCATTTGAACTGCGATGCCCTGTGATATATTGTACTTACAGACCTAATGTGACCTGGTGCAAGTTTGAAGGAAAAAGCTGTTTATCTCCTGGGGATAGACTTCAGGGACACATGCATTGGGAAGAAGAGAAGAATACTTCAACTTTTATTCTGCATTTCAATCAAGTGCTTGCTAGTGACAATGGGTCATACCGCTGTTCTGCGAATTTTTCATCTGGACTCATGGAAAGCCACTCAATTACCATCAGTGTGACAGGTGAGTTCTAGACAGCAACACTATCTAATGTTTTTCTTCTTTCTTTTTTTTTAATTGAAACATCCTTGATATACAATCTTATATTGGTTTCAAATATACAACACAGTGGTTCAAAGGTTATCCATACCTCACCCGCTCTAGGTCAGCTACTGTCTGTCAGCATAGAAAGATGTTGCAGAATCATTGACTATATTCTCCATGCTGTGCTACTATTCCCATAACCAACTTATATTAAGTTTGAGATTTTTTGTGCCCCTTTATCCCCCTCACCCTTCCTACCCTATCCCATTCCCCCATGGTCACCTCTAGTCACTTCTCAGTTTCTATGAGTCTACTGCTATTTTGTTCATTCGGTTTCGCTTTGTTTTTATATTCCACAAATAAGGAAAATCATATGGTATTTGTTTTTCTCTGCCTGGCTTATTTCACTTAGCATAATACCTTCTAATTACATCCATGTTGTTGCAAATGGCAGGATTTCTTTCTCTTATGCCTGATTAATATTCCCTTATGTATATGTACCACCTCTTCTTTATCTATTCATCTATTGATGGACACTGAAATTGCTTCCAGATTTTGGTTATTGTACATAATGCAGTGATAAACATAGGGATGTATGTATATCTTTTTGAAGCAGGGATTTTGTTTTCTTCAGGTAAATTTCTAGAAGTGGAATTACTGGTCATACGGTATTTCTACTTTTAATTTTTTGCAAAACCTCCATACTGCTTTTCACAATAGCTGCACCAATTTACATTCCCACCAACAGTGTAGGAGGGTTCCCTTTATTCCACATCCTTGCCAACACTTGTTATTTCTTGTCTTTTGGAATAGTGGCCATTCTAACTGGTGTGAAGTGATATATCATTGTGATTTTGATGTACATTTCCTTGATAATTAGTGATGTGGATCATCTTTTCTTGTGCCTGTTGGCCATTTGTATTTCTTCTTTAGAGAAATGTCTGTTCATGCCCTCTACCCATTTTTTAATTTGGTTATTTGTTTTTTTGGTGCTGAGGCATGTGAGTTATTTATGTATTTTGGCTGTTAACCCCTTCTCAGATAAACCATTTACAAATATGTTCTCCCACAGTGTAAGTTGCTTTTTTGTTCTGCTGATGGTGTACACTGCTGTACAGAAGCTTTTAAATTTGATGTAGTCCCACTTGTTCATTTTTTATTTTGTTTCCCTTGCCTGAGAAGATATGTCCAAGAAAAAATTGCTCATGCTGATGTTAAAGAGATTTTTGCCTATGTTTTCTTTTAAGATTGAGAGTTTCATGTCTTACATTCAATTCTTTGACCCATTTTGAGTTTACTTTTATGTATGGAGTTAGTTATCCAGTTTCATTATCTTGCATGTAGCTGTCTAGTTTTCCCAAAACCAGTTATGGAAGAGGCTCTCTTTTCCCCATTGTATATTCATGGCTCCTTTATCATATATTAATTGACCATGTATGTGTGGGTTTATATCTGGTCTCTCTATTCTGTTCTACTGATCTACGGGTCTTTTCTTATACCAGTGTCATACTGTTTTGATTTCTGTAGCTTTGTAGTATAGCTTGAAATCAGGGAACATAATACCCCTAGCTTTGTTCTTTCTCAGAATTGCTTTGGCTATTCAGGGTATTTTGTGGTTCCATATGAATTTTGGATCATTTGTTCTAGTTCATTGAAAAATGTTGGGATTTTGAATCTGTAAATTGCTTTGTGCAGGATGGCCAACAAATGTTTTAATGTTTTGACAACATTAATTCTTCCTACCCATGAGCATGGGATAGATTTCTGTTTATTGGTGTCTTCTTTAATTTGTCTCATGAGTGTCTAATAGTTTCATAGTATGGGTCTTTTACCTCCATAGTTAGGTTTATTCCTAGATATTTTATTCTTTGTGATGCAATTTTAAATGGAGTTGTTTTCCTGATTTCTCTTTCAGCTAGGTCATTGTTAGTATATAGGAACAAAACAGATTTCTGTGTATTAATTTTATATCCAACTTTGCTGAATTCAGTTATTAGTTCTAGAATTTTTTTGGTGGAGTCTTTAGGGCTTTCTCTGTATGATGTTTTTCTCATCATATTTCAAAGAAAAAGAGGACAAAGATTCTCAAGTGATCATGTTAGACCCTGAGCTCATACAAATTGGAAGGCTGCCGTGCCTCACAGATTGCACAGATTGTGATGTGTATGCACATACATTTGTGTGGTACTGTGTGTAATTTTGGATGAATGAGATGGAGAAGAGTGAAAAAAGTATAATGAAAGATACTGTTCTTGCCTTTAAAGGGCATAACATTTATTTGATAAGTCCAGAAGTATATTATTAAAATATGGGGAAAAAGTACAAAGTGAACACCAATAGTAGCAGACAGCTTTCTATTCTTTGGCTTTTTTTCTTCTTGTATTTTTAGTTCTCCTTATCAGTTATTGACTTTTATTGATAAAAAAATCTTCAAGTTATATTTGTGGTGCTAAGACAATTAGACTCACATTAATAGCACAGTTTGCACAGGAGGGAAACAGCATACAAATAACTGGACTTCCTGATAAATTTTGAGAATAATCATAGCTTTAGCTGCCTCCACAAAGGCCCTCATGAGGTTCAAACAGCAGAGGAAGGACAGGCTGAGGTTAAGCTGGACAAAACCAACCTGAACAAAACATGAAAAACAAATAGGAGTAGAGGAGAGTAGAAAAAAAATCTGATTTATGAAAATCCCACAACTAATGTCATACTCAGTGGTGAAAAACTGAAAGCTTTCCCCCTAGGAACAGGAAAAACACAAGGATGTCTGCTTTTGCCACTTCTATTCAACATCAAACTATAAGTTCCAGCCAGAGCACTTAGGCAAAAAAAAAAAAAAAGAAAGAAAAAAGAAAAGCCATCCAAATTGGACAGAAAGAAATGAAATCATCTCCTTTCACATATGACATGATCTTATATATAGAGAATCTTTAAAAATCCACAAAAATTACTAGAGCTAATAGGTAAATTCAACAACGTTGTATAATCAACTAAAAAAAAAATCAGTGGTATTTCTATACACTAGCAGTGAGCAATCTGAAAAGGAAATTAAGAAAACAATTCCTTTTATAATACATCAAAAAGAATAAAAAGCTTAGGAATAAATTTAACCTAAGGGGTTCAACACTTGTACATTGAACAAAACACAGCCAAAAAAATTAAAGAAAGTGTAAATAAATGGAAAGATATCCTGTGTTTGTGAACTGGAACATTTAATGTTGTTAAGATGACAATGTTTCCCAAAGTGATCTACAGATTCAGTGCAATCCCTATCAAAATCCCAACTTAAAAAAAAAAGATATAAAAGAGCTGATCTTAAAATTCACATGGAATTGCAATGAACTCAGAATATCAAAAAATAGTCTTGAAAAATAAGAACCAAGTCAGAGGACTAACCTTTCTCTATTTCAAAACTTACTATAGACCTATAGTAATCAAAACAGAGTAGTACCAGTATAAGGATAGAGTATATCATAAATCCATATGTCTTGGTCAATTGATTTTTAAAAAGGCTGCCAGACCCATTCAATGGGAAAAGGACAGTTTCTTTGATAAATGGTACTGGGACAATTGGAGATGAAAAATAATGAATTTGGACCTCTACCTTACATAATATACAAAAATAAGTAAAAATGAATTATATATTAAATATAAGAACTAAAACAATAAAACCTATGTTTACATAAAACTACAATACTATGTTTCATTAGAGGAAAATCTTCATGTTTCCATAGGAGTAAATTTTCATGATCTTGGATTTGTCAATACCTTTTTGATATGATATCAAGAGCATAAGCAACAAAAAGAATAAATAGATAAATAGGACTACATAAAAATTGAAAGCTTTTGCACATCAAAGACATTATCAAGAAAGTGAAATGATAACCTAGAGAATATGAGAAAATATTTGCAAATCTTATATCTGATATGGCATTAGTACCCAGAATATATAAAGAATTCTTACAAATAAACAAGAAACATAAGCAATCTAATTAAAAAAACAGGCAAAGGACTAGACAGACAATTCTCCAAAGAAGATACATAAAACTGGCCAATGATCACTTAAAAAAATGTTCAATGTCTTTGGTCATTAGGAGAATGCAAATCAAAATCACAATGAGATGCTACTTCCCACCAACTAGAATAACTAGAATTTTTTCTTAAATGAAAAATAACAAGTGTTAGAAAGTTTTTGACAAAATCAGAACCCTTATACCTTGCTGTTGGGAATGTAAAATGGTGCAGCTACTTTGGAAAGTAGTCTGACAGTTCTTCAAAAGATTAAACATTGCCACAAGACTCAGCAATTCCAATGCTAGGTAAATATCCCAGTGAAATGAAAACATATGTCCACAGAAAAATTTGTACATAAATGTTTATAGCAGCACTATTCACAAAGGCCAAAATGTGGAAACAACCCAAATGTTCATCAACTGATAAATGGATAAAGGAAAAGTGGTGTGTCCATGCAATGGAATATTATTCAGGCATAAAAGTGGATGAAATAAGAATATAAGCTGAACCTCACAGCTGAACCTCAAATACGTGCTAAATAAAAAAAGCCAGACACAAAAGATCACATATTGTATGATTCTGTTTATATGAAATACCCAGAATAGGAAAATCCACAGAGATAGAAAATGGTTAATGGTTACTAAGGGCTGGGAGAGAAGGAGAATGGGGAGTGACTATTTAATGTGCATGGGATTTCCTCTTGGGAATGAGAAAATGTCCTGAAACTACATAGTGGTGATAGTAGTGAATGCCTTCTGAATTTTACACTTTAAACAATTGGAATAGTAATTTTTCTATGTTTTTTTACCACATAAAATGTTTTTGAATCAAAAAAGACTACCCTTTAATTATAAGAAATGAGATGGAGTTTCTTTAGTGGCCCATAAACTGACCTTGTGGCCCATAAACTTGACCTTCTTTATTGCAAAAGAGAAATGTCAAAGAGATTTGGTGCAGTGGTAGCATGTCTGAAATCTATATAGCTACTTCTATGGATACCACTGACTGCATGATTAATTAAAAATTAATTTTTTAGCTTATACACACATTCTGGAGTCAGTCTTTAAATTCCCTTAAAGTAACCCGACAAAGGAATCCATTTAAATCCTTTTAGAATCCTTTAAATCATTTAAAAATCTCTGAAAGTAGCCCTGTGAGGAAAGCACAGTACTCTAGCACTGGCTGCAACCCTCTACTACAATGCATAGAAGTATAGAAAGGATTTATGGCAGAGTCAGAGACTCTGATTTTGCAGATTTGGGGATCAAACTCAGTGCTAATTGCCTGTGGCCATCTATGCACTGGCTCATAAATGGAGGCACATAAATGGCCTTAGCATGGAGGCTGTGTCTTAAATATCTTTCCTTCTGTACAAATAGATGGTACAGTGTATGGCACATAATAGATGCTCAATAAATGTTTCTTTGTAAATGAGTCAAATGATATTATCTATGCAAAGTGAGGCAATTGCCTTTAACAACCTGGAGAAGCCTATATTGAAGATACATGGAATTATGTTTTCTGAAGTTAACTAATCTCACTATTAATTCACATAATGAGGTAACACACTGAATTTTGTAAGAATTATTACTATTTTAACTGGCAAAACAAATGATAAAAATAAGCAAAACTTGCAAAACATTACTTCCAGGATGATAGTAATTATACTATTAAATGTAAAACAATTAAGTGCTATGAGAGCATTTATATAACATATATTAATATAATGTATAATAAAATTGAATGTAGTGGCAGTGAATCCACTTTTCCTTGAAGAGAAGTTGTCTTGTGTGGTTCAGTCTTTCCTCATGAGAATCAATCACTTCTGTCCAAGAGGGAGGCGCTTAGCCAGGGTTGGAGGCAAGCTAATAATTACTTATGAACTGGAATTCCCCAGAGGCGTTACTGTCTCTCCTCTGTTCCATATTTGGGTCATTCCATGAGCACTACAGATGGTTGTACTGTTTGTAAAGTGTGTAAAGGTACCTGCTCTAAGGATCAAGCCAGGCTGAAATTAGGATCAATAATTTTTCTCCCATGGGGAAGAGGAGGCCTAACCTCAGGGGGAAGGTAGGCAGCTCTTACACCCTGTGCCCTGCGGGCATGTGGATTAGGTGAGAAGGAAAGTCTACAAGCTAAGTAGAAGACACAAGAGCCTTTAGTTTCTCTTTGAAGATTTCTGCTCTCCTGATTCCTACTCTCCTACCTTTCATGTCACTCCCTTTCTCATCACTTTCTTAATCAATGTTCCCGACCTCACTGGAAATTCCCCAGCGCTTTGCTTCGGCATGCTCCTGTCAGCGACGCTCCGCTCTGTGATCGGTTCCCTCCTGTATCTTCATGAACATCTCATACTTTCTTTCATTCAGTTAGCTGTATGGGCTCCCTGCCTTTACTGTTTTTCTGTTTGGCCCCATTTCAGACAAAAATCTCCCTAATACACAATCTGCCCGGTCAATCTGCCCATTCTTTCATAATGCCACTCTTTATATTCAGATTCAGCAGAGCATCCCCAGTGCTCATAACACTGCACACCCACTTATTAACCAGCATTCAAGGGCTTCTGCAGTCCAGCCTCACCTGCCTTTCTGGGTTGTTTCTGGATTCTCTCCTTGCCATTGCCATGCCTTCACCTGGTCCTTCTTAAGCTGCCATCAGTGCTCATAGGGCACCTGTTCATCTGCATCCACCCATCAGAATTTTACCCCTCCAGTCAAGCCCAACTCACTTCCTGGTTCTTAATGAAGCCTTTCACATTTCACCTAAGGGAAGTGACTTCTCTTTTCTAGCAGTTTTTATGGCACTTAAGGCCTGTGCCTCTCATTTGTCACACATTTAAGTGTACTGTAGAATGTGTTCTTTATCCCATGAAGGGTTATAATGTCCTAGGAAGCAGGAAATGTGTCCTGTTTCTCTGAGTCATGCCTGCTCCCTTCACAAAAGTTAAATGAAGTATTTAGGAATTGGCTTTGACCTGGGTGTGGATTTTCCTTCTGTGAAGTGATGAGAATAGACATAATAGGGAAAGGGTCAAAGAAAAATTCCTTCTCCTTCTGTACCTGGGAGTACTCAGTAAATTGAGTAGGAGAGGAGGAGAAAAATATACTCTGAAATTATATTAAAAACCCTGCTTTTTGTAAGTACATTTGGGAGGTACGATTTTTAAAAACTTTTCATTTTCTCCCCTTTTTAGAGGGTATTGGGAATTTTCTGTTCTGATATCTGACTGCTTTTTTTGTGTTCAAGTTAAGAATGGGTCCATGTAAGAACAGGCCTATGATAACGTTGGGGCTTGGATGCTGTTGCAAAAGCATATTCTCCCAGATGAGAAAAGCATGTTGCAAAGCAATGCCAAGTCCCAGGGGAGACACTGACAGAGCTGGGAAACAGTCCCTGGGATATGTGGTGGCCTGCAACTCCGTCCTCCCTGACCTGCCCTTGGTCATCCCTGATGAGAAGCTTCAGAGAGGCAGGTGGTCCCCACTGTCGCAGAATACTGGAGGTGGTATGAGTGGGCAGAAAGTGGTGGGCACCATCTTCATTTCAGCGTGAGTAACCAGCATGTCATCCAAAGCATCCTTTCCGTGTGGCCTCTCACACTCACTGGGAGCACCTGCTGAGTGTGCAGTTTGTTATTCCAATTGCCAGTTGGTGTCATATAGGCTGTCAAGTGTCCTTACACTTTAGGACTGGAAAAGAGGGAACCAAACCAGACAGTGAAGATCACATTGTATTTATAGAGTCTTTCTTCCAGCCTCAGCATGAACCCAGGGATTTACTTTGTGTCTGTGATCTTGAAGTGATGACCTACAAATTACACAACTGCCTTGAGCTGGACCATTGGATTCTCTAGTAGTGGAGCCAAAGCAGGAGTCCTCTCAGAGGCTAGCTCTGATTTTGGACATACCCGAGTATACACCATCATTATTTTCACAACCAATTTAAAATTTTTGTTTTTCTGTTTTAGAACGGATTCAAAATAATTTAGAACACCCTGTAATAAGTAAGTATCAAACTTTTCAAATAAAATTAAGGAAACTACATTGTTTGGTGGTTGTAGAAATAATAAAAGTTGGGTTTTTTTAAACAGAGTGGATGTGTTTGTATTAGGTTATCTGTTGGAGGAACATTAGTCCCTATTTCTGTCTATGCTCCTCTCCCAGATGGCTGTGTTTGTCATTCTTGGTCAGAATGACTTGGCTGTTTGCCCAACCTGACCAGCAGCTGCAGCATGAACAACATAGCACTTGTTCCCACTCTGAACTACCAAACCCTTTTGTGCCTAGTTCCAGGATCTCCTGACCACCTTTACCTCAAAACCAAGCACATGGGGAAGTGACTATATAACCACATTAATATGTTTAGAAGTAAAGCTTTCCTGAATAAAAAAGATGAACAAAAGTACAAAATTAAAGATATGTGATGCATTTGGATATTTTCTATTGTTACATTTCAGTTTTTAAATGTTATTTGTCATCTATTGTATTTTTGTACGACCCACTGATAAGTTGCATTTACCATGGACAAGCAGGGTCTTAATGCACATTAACCTTGAGCAATAGCAATGAGCACCAGCTATATGCCCAGCAAAGCATAGCTGGAAATAACAAAGGTGTCTGGAGATAACAAAAGTATTTGGTATTTGGAGATACGAAAGAGTTGTGAGACAAGAAAAAGGTGTTGTGTTAAAGGAACTTGAACTTAGTATCAGACACATGCTGTCTGGAGTTCCAACTACCACTTGGTAGCTGTCTGACCTTGGGCAAGCCTTGGAACAATAATATTCTTCTCAAGGCATGGCACTGAGTAAAAAGTATCGCTTTCTTATTTTTCTTATGTGGCAAATATGAGAGTTGAATGAGACAATGCAGATGAAAGGGCCTGGTAATGTGCTTTCTGAAAGCTGTTATGGACATTGTTTTACAGAGGATTAACCCTAGCAGAATAAAATATTCTTGGAAATGATAAATTGTAACCCAGAGCCACCCACATATGCTGGCAATAAAGCAAGAGGTAGGTGAGCATACTGAGGCCTGGGGTCCATGAAGAAGGCCTTCTGGAAGTGGAGGCATCAGCTGGAAATTGCCTTCATTCAGGTTCTGACTATGCAGAGGGCATTGCCGGTCCTAATAGATCTCAGATTTCCTGTCTTTGGCATTGACTAACATTCCAGATACAACCAGGGCCACGGAAGCACCCTCCAAGGAAGAGATGGTGGACAGACGATGGATCCTTTACAGTTTGCTTCCTCTTGGTGCATTACCTCTGCTCAGTACCTGTGTCTGCCTATTCTGTTGCCTTAGAAAGCACCAAGGTGAGTTCCATCTTCCCTCTGCTGCTCTGTGCTACACCTTTAGGGCTCGATTACTAGGGCTGATAGGTTTTTAATTGATTCCTGGTTTTTTCTTTCCCAATATTTGATGATGAACCATGGATGGTGATTTTCTGGGGGACAATTCATCCTTCCACCAAAAGCCAAATGGATTAATTCAGGTCGCCACTAGGCATGGTGAAGTATGCTTACCACAACCCAGTGCTCCAGCCGAGGGTTGTGGCAAGGAGGGCACAAGGCTGGGAGTTACAGTTTGTCAGCCTTGGGTTTGTGTGAGAAGGAGCTCTTCTAAAGTTCAAGAGTGTTGAAAACGAGGTTGGAAGAATCTCCTGAATATTCCTCTTTTTCACATCCATATGACATCATGCCAGTCATACTCGTCCTTGTCTAAATGCAGACCCAGTGTCATTGGAGAAATTCATATTTCTGTGGCCATCTGAACCCTCACACAACAATAATGCACTTCAAAAAATGTGGGTTTGGCTATGAAGGGAGAGGTGTGATATTTTGAAAATAATTCCTTTCTGCTTTTGTAAGAATTCCCTCAAGGTCATGAGTGAAACCCTTATTAAACATAGTAAGCAAGAGATGTATGGAGAATTCTCTTTCAGCTCTGGTCTGAACCCCCCAGTTCTCTCTTTCCTTTTTCCTTTCAGTCATCTCCTCTCATTCCTTTCCCACAGCAGCAGCCATAGCATAGCGATAGAAATTAAGCTAGACAGACAAAGCAAGCCTTATTTCTGCCACAAGAGAAAGCTTTGTCTGGGGAAAAAAAAAAAAAGAAGTGTTTCTGGTGGTCTGTGGTGAGGACTTTCAAAGCCCAGAACCTTCTCAGAATACGGAGTGAATCCTTTGGAACCCCAGCTCCACACCTGCAGCTCCAAGGCTCTTTCCACAGCCCCTCTCCAGGCTTCCCTATCTTTCCTGAGGCTGCTGGGACTTCAGGAAAAAGGCAGGGAAAAATCCTTCCATTTACCACACTCACAGTGAACCTCGGTAGAAGGAGATATCCTTGTTACACAGGTGACAGGACAGTAACGTGCCTGGCACTGAGTATAGAATGTCCCCAGACCAAGGATTTTCCATCTTTTTTAAAGTAATACACTGGATTCTGTCCCTTCCTCTTAGATGTGCTGTTGAAGAATCAGTGAACAAAATGGGCAGCATGAATACTCACAAACTGAGGCATGTGCCGTGCTAATCACAGCAAATAAACAAGCCCAAACTAATAACAGTGCTGTCTCTGGCAAGCATGTGGGTGGGCACGGGTGGGGAGGCTTCCCACCTCTACTCTAGGGACTGAGTTTCAACCTAGCAATCTGATTCCAGAATCCATTTTTTTTATCATAGCTCTAACAAATAGGAAATTGGGGAAGAATTTTGTGTAGTTCTTTGATCCTTTTTTTTTTATTAAAAAATTTTTCTTTTTGAATTCCAGCTGAAAAAAAGAAGCCTTCTGATTCAGCAGGAAGGGAAATTAATCTGGTATGTTCAATGCATCTTTAAAACAAATGCAATCTATGTTATTTTTAACTTAATGAGCCTGTGTAATACCATGTGCCAGGTCTTGTTCTAAATGCTAGGTATATTGACTTACTTTAAAATTGTGTTTATTTTACATTTACCTCCATCTGCAGAAAAGATTCTTCAAAATTAACAAGTCTTATAATTTATAAGTGGCTCTTTGGAAAAGAATGGGTGGTGGTACAGGTACCAAACAAAAAAGTCAAAGATTTTCATAATCTTAGATCTGCTTTTGACCAGCTATGTGATTTCAGGCTGTTCATTTATTCTCACAAAAACACCTTAAAAGTCTTTCTGGAAGGGAATTGAGAGTTAATCAAAGGATGAATCATAAATAACCTCATAAAACGAGGAAAGATTTCTTCCTCCAGCAGATAGAGAAGCATGATTATAAGTCTAGTTGTTATGTCAAAGTCCCTTGTAATGTGTGTGGGCCTGTCAAGGGAGAGGCCTCCCAGAAAAAGGGAATGGCCTTTCCAAGGCAGTGCCAAGTTTTCCTAGAAGTTTTTGGAATATAAACTTAGGCTTTTCTTTGGGGTTCAGTGTTGAAACTCAAAAGAGAATGCACAATGAGGGAATATATTTTTGTTTAATTTATGAAGCTCTTAATTAAAAACAAATAGTCATAATGAGATACAGCAAAGGGACTTGGTAAGTGTGTGTGTGTGTGTGTGTGCGTGCGTGTGTGCGTGCGTGCGTGCGTGTGTGTGTGTGTGTGTGTGTGCAGTTAGGAAGAATAGAGATAAAGATATAGTAACCTTCTTTAAAGTTCCAGAAATTCCAGAGGCAGATACAGCCAATAATTCATATCATATTAAATGACAGTATTCATCAGGTTGCCTAATTTTAAAGTAGTCCATATAGTTCAACTTGATAATGTTATATTAAGTTTTTAGTGAACATCAGTAGGCGTCATTGTATTGGGCGCTAAGGTTTGTTTGCTCAGATAGGGAGATTTTCTTAAATATTACTTCCTTTCTCCCCATAGTGAACAGCCATGCAAACTACATTCTGTTACAACCAGGACTTAAACATTAATCTAAATAATTTACTGTGCAAGCAAAGCCCAGTTAAAATGTAGTTATATTTCTTCCTGCATAGGCTGAACAAATTATTTACAATATGAAGTTGAATTCACATTATTCATTTCAATAATTTGGCAATTTTGTTTTAAGGTACTCTGGTCTATCCCAGGAATTTACAGTTTGCTCCATTTGAGTTGTCAAACAATTCAGAAAATAATCAGAGAAGCCATATGAGATCTTTGAGACTAAAACTATCTTAAGAAGGAACTTGTATGGGAACAAGTGGAATAGACTTCAACGTAGGGAAAGAAATTGCTAAAAACAAGGCCATTACATAGAAAAGTCAAAGATCCCATGTTATTCCAGAATGGCCTGTTGACAATATAAAAGTGCTTGTGTTGCTGGGCAGCTGTGTCTGGAGAGATTTGTCCCTGTGCACTAGATGAAACTGCAACCCTGACAGGGGAGGATTCTTGATTTGATAAAGAAAGAATTCTCCATCAGGTTGGATGAGTGTAGGCAAGGAATTCATTAAAGCAAGAGTAGAAGCAAATGTCAGCAGGCATGCAGGCAGCAGAGCTCAAGGAAGAACAGAGGGAGGAAAGGGAAGTTCATTGAACTCCTCCTTGGCATAGCACAGATCCCTTGCCAACTCCTGAGGCCAGCCTGAGTCACCTGTTGTCCAGTGTTTGCTGTCTGCTTGAATCTGCACAGTGTGGGAGCTAAGCCCCTATCACGCAAGGATTTGGGGGAGCCACAGAGCACTGGATGGCATGAGGTTATGTTCTGAGAACTTCCTCTTCCCTCCTGGTCTGAAATAAAACAGGGAGAGAGAAAAAGATTGTGTTAAGGCTAGAAAGCTGAATGAAATAGCAGAGTGACAAAGACTTTTACCACTGGGGAGGTTGGGGAGTTCTTGTCTTTATCATGGAAAAGATTTCAGAGGCAAGTGCAAATGGCTTATGCAACTAGAAAGTTTATTTGATATAGGACAGTACACACTTAGCAGGTGACCTCAAGGAGGAGGTGCACTTAAGGATTTAGGGTTTTGGGTTTTATAGGGCCTTTTGGGTAGGGGTCAGCATTAGGCATAATGTATACAGGTGACTCATAATTCTTTTGAAGTTTTGTCTTAAGAATAGAGTTATTTAGGTGACTGTTGGGTGTTGACCTGGATCGTGGCATTATTTATCTACATAGGCTTGTTTATACTTCAGAGATCTATCTGTCATTCTAGTTAGAAAGTTACTTAATTGATTCAGAGGCTAGAATAAGAGAAAGAACAGAATATAGATTAAGTTATAAAATAAGCTGGGCCTTTTTCTGCACGCTAAGTAGATTTTACATTGGCATGACCCTTGTCCCATTTCCTTGCTCTATCTCACTTGTATACTAAAAACCACTGAAATGCTTGTATTTTTTTAAAGTGCTTTGTAAACTGTGAGCGTCATGCAAATATAGAGTAGGATAGTTGCTTTCGTGCTTGTCATCTCTCCCGCCAGCATAGTACACCAGCCTTGTAGCACCCCCTATTTTGATGAGGTGCTGCGGGAGAGGTTCATCCACAGAGCACCAAGTTTTCTTTTACCCCATTCATTCTAACAAAGTTTTCACGGAAACCAGCCATCTTTTGGGAAGGGAGCTAGCTAACTAAGTTGACAGATTTAGAACATGGAAATGTACACCAGGGACTCTGTTGACATATTAAGGATTTGTGGCTACTTACCAGTTCACATGATGGTTCTTCCATTCTCCCCAGAGACTTTAACCAGGCTCCTTCAAAGGGAAGTTGATGCACTTTCCATTTAAGCCAAGGGACTGGGAAGGTTAAAGCAATGCCTGTCTTTCAGCCTTAGTGTTATTTCCTGGGCAGCCACCTCATTGAAGGGAAGTGGTGTACTCAAGAGTTAATATTCAGTGTCTCAGGATAGGGCCAGACAAGCACGTGGGATAGAACTCTGCTGAAGAGGTGTAGTAGACATACAAACATACATATCACAATGAGGATGAAAAGGACCAGATAAATCATGTAGACGTTCAAAGACTGTGGACTTGGCACCTTAAAGGAGTTAGGTCAAACTCCAAGAACGTAAATTACTAGCAAAATTGGACTTAAAAAAATTGAAATAACAATGCTTAGCATTGACACATTATCTTAGTTTTTACCAAGTAGATCACTTGCATAGCTAGGAATGCCTAACAACTGAGAAGAGGGAAAAACATCAGGACCCATTTTATTTTTAGTTTCCATAAGGTTACCTCTTTCTCAGAAGCTTTAATCTATTTGACTACTTGGAAATGAAAGAATATTCTTGTGATAGAAATAATAATCCAAATATTTTAGAACTTATTCCAAGCTTTGACTGCCCTCTCCCCAAAACTGACAGCAATTTTCCAATTCCAGATTTCAAACTATAATAATATATCTTGGATAACTCATAATATTTATTCTTTCTGCCTCTTTAGAGGGTATCTGTTCTGCTTTATCTATAATTGTTTTATTCTAAACTTTGTTAATACTATCCTTTTTATTGTAAGCAGCCTGAAATTCTTGTGAGTATTTATGATTTTCGTACAAATTTGGAGTGTGCTTTCATCTTGAAGAGGGGTTGAAATGTGTTCTGGGACCTCAAAAGTAACCAATAAAAAAGCACAAAATAACCACACTTGGAAGCAACATGGTGGTCCTAAGCCTTTCATCTTCTAACAACTGATAATATGCTAAAAAAATTAGTGGATGTCAGGAGCATATGTGAGGAAGAGCCGAGTATTTCTTTTGATATGTAATGACTCAATTTAGCATATAGTCATATATTCTGCTAATGGATATGCATTGTCACATTCTTATGTGATACTTAAAACAATCATTTTTCTTTTATAGGTTGATTTTCCCCAGCCCTTTAGGCATGAACAAAGTGAAGTGGGCATCAGGCAAAATTCCCAAACACTGCCATCAGAAACTGGAATTTATGATAATGACCCCTGGTTCAGGGCCCAGGAAGAGTCTGGGGTTTATTCTAACCTACATCTGGAGGAAAACAAACAGGGCATTGTTTATGCTTCCCTGAACCATTCCATCATTGAAATGAACCCAAGACAGGCAAGAAATGTGAAGGAAGCTCCTACAGAATATGCAGCCATATGTGTGCGGAGTTAAATCTGGTCCTGATCTCCAACCAGTGGCCATCAAATAGTCAGTGTGTCCACACAATCATCTAAGGTCCAGCAGGATGTCAAATAATATTCCTCGACCTGAGAAATTTCACTTTAGAAAGGCTCATGTTGTTGCTGGGGGTCTTAAGGACCTATAGGTCAAATGACTAATATTTCTCCCAGACACTTCTATGAGAGTCTTTTATGTTATAGACTTGAACAACAACAAAAAAAAAAACCTCTCCAAAACTGAGTGCTATCATGAGTTGAAGAGTAGTAGAACATTTAAACCTAGCTATATTTTACCCAATATACAAATTAATTATTTCCTTTGGGTACTAGACTTACGTAGGGAAGAGAAGTTTGTCTGATCTGGATCAGTTTCACTACAGTCTCTTGAAGAAGAATGTCTCAGTTCACCTCTCTAACCACGAATACAGTAATAATAGTATGTTTACTTCTGATCAATCTTCCATAATAGGACATTTTCCTCTGTCAATCTGATACTAGGGTTTCTTAAATGTAAAGGAGAAATCACTTTAGACTTGATGATATAAGAAAATAATGGAAAGTAAATGGTGCAATAAAGACAAGGAATACACCACCTGAATGTGGGGTAGATGCTCCCCATGCCTGACAAACAGATGCTTCTATCTTTTCTGTTAGACTGCTAGGCAAATATAAGTGGTAATCGAGTGATAGATGTATAGTGCATTTATAAATAAAGTGATGACTCTGTGTTCAGGTCACAGAGACCAATGTATATATGAATGTGACATAATGCTGCTAAATATACTTGTGAGTGTCTAAATAAATGTCAAAATCAGTGAGAATAAGTATCATCAGGCAAGTGCAGATTGATGGCTTAAACTGCTTTGCTTAAACAGATTGACCTGATAGCAAATCAAAAGCATAATTAATGGAATGGAGAAAAGTCCATAGTATTAAGTTGGGCAGTACAGGTCAACATACTTTCCTTCACCATATCTGTATCTTGCTGTTCTTCTTACTAAGGAATCAGGGCAAATCATATGTAGTGAAGTCATGCAGTTTCACAATTTGTGTTAAAATGTTGAGGTTGCAGCCACTTAAGAGTATAGCAAGAAGAGATGGTTTCAGATTTCTCAATTTCCATAGTACTTGAGTCTAATTATTGAAAAATAGTCTACAACTTATTCAACAGCTTGAGGCTATTAGAAGTCTCAGGTGCTGCTACTAAATGCACTATACCTCATAAAAATGAATGACAAAGGCTAGAATCCATTTGAACAAATATGTGAGCTGTTCATATGAATGTGGAGGAGTGGTGTCCATCTGTATCATCAGTGTATAGAAAGAAACGTAGGTGACTTAAAATCATAGAGAAACTGACAACATTCATTCCATTTCAGTTTGCTAAAGAAGTTCAAAATACTAGAATAAATGGGTCATTAAAGGAAATGTGTGAAAACAGTGTATGAAAATGCGGATGGGAGTATGACACCCCCATCAAATTTTTTGGCCCCAAAAGACAAAACTGAGATTTGTGGGAGAGCTTTCCTTATGTAACACTGGCATTAAGATTTCAACCCTTGGATTGAGGTTGTGGATATGGTTTTAGATTCACCACTATCTAGCCAGTATAATATCATGACACCTAGAATTTTAAGCAGCCCATTCTAGGTAGGCACTTTCAACCAAACTGTATTTATGTGCAAAAGATATATTAGATAGCTGCTTGTGGTCTTCTTAAAAATAGAAACAGGAAGTATGGGGAAGGTACATTTAGCTGTTCTTATTGGATAAACACACAAAGCTGAACAGTTTCTTCATAACTTTTTTGAATTAAAAAAAAGTATTTTTGTCTATTGTTTAGCATATTCTCAACATACTTTATAGTAAAGATAATATTGATAATAATTTTACTCCTATAAATGATTTCTACTTATATTTGTGCCATGCTGCCAAAACCACAAATCATGTATATTTTATTCCTTCTTAAAAAAAGGTGTCAGAGTTTTATGTGTATTTCCCACATAAATTTATTTCAGTAGTGTTTACATGGCTTATTTCATTAATGATAAATGAGAAAAAGTATGATTTTCCATGAATTTTAAGCTTGTTGATTATGCCTAATAAGAAGGTAAAGTTATTAAACTTTATTTGGAATCAACTTGGTCTTGCTTTTGTACCAGAAAAATGCACGGACATGAAACAGAAGAGTGATTTTCAAATTTTATGGCACATAAAAATAGCCTGAAAAACTTAACTGAACTAAAAATTACCAACTCCCAGTGATAGGAAATTCTGATTCAGTAGATACAGGATATAGCTCTATATACTCTTCACTGTTAATAGACACCCCAGGTAATTTTGATACAGGTTTCCCGGTGTAGAGGCCAGATTGGTATATGTGATTTATTTGATCAGTTTTGCCTACCAAACAAGATTTTCTAGGCTCCAGAATTGATTCTATAGCCTGATCGTATCTGTATATCATCTCTCCCTCTCTCTCTTTTTCTCTCTCTATTTCTGTATCAATCTATATGTACTTTTTTAAAGAGCAGTTTTAGTTTCAACAAAGTTGAACAGAAAGTACAGAGAATTTTTATATACTCCCTACTCCCCAAACACACAGCCTCTCCTGTATCAACATCCTGCACTAGGGTGATACACACATTTTTATTACAACTAAGGTACCTATTGACACATCATAATCAAACAAAGCCCATAGTTCACATAGGGTATACTTTTGGTGGTATAATTCTATGGGTTTTGACAAGTACATAGCAACAGGTACCTTTATTATAGTAAGGTACAGAATAGCTTCACTGCCCTAAACATTTCCTATGGTCCAGCTATTCACCCTTCTGTCCCCCAACTCCTGGCAACCACTGATTCTTTTCTTTCTCCATAGTTTTACCTTTTCAGAATGTTATTTAATTGAAACCACACAGTATGTAGCCTTTCCATATTGGCTTCTTTCACTTAATAATATGCATTTAAGGTTCTTCCCTGTCTTTCTGTGGCTTGATAACTCACAAGTTCTTTTTTAGCACTGAATAATATTTCATTGTCTGGATAGAACACAGTTCATTTATCCATTCACCTACTGAAGGGCATCTTGTTTGTTTCCAAATATTGGCAATTATGAATAGAGCTGTTACAATCATCTGTGTGCAGGTTTTTGTGTAGACATCAGTTTTCAACTCATTTGAATAAATACTGAGGAAAGTGATTGCTGAATCAAATGATAAAGGTACGTTTAGCTTTGTAAGAAACTACCAAAGTGTCTTCCAAGTGGATGTGCCATTTTTCATTCCCATCTACAATGAATAAGAGTTGCTCCACATCATCACCAGCATTCGGTGTTGTTAGTGTTCTAGATTTTGTCCTAATTCTAACAGGTGTGTTATCTCATTGTCTGAATTTGCAGCTTCCTAAATGATATATGTTGATCATCTTTCCATATGCTTATTAGCCATCTGTGTATCTTCTTAATGAGGTGTATGTTCAGACCTTTTACCCTTGTTTCAATTGGATTGTCTTTTTTTTATTGTTTTAATAGTTCTTTGTATAGTTTAGTTAACAGTCTTTCATCAAATAGGCCTTTGAAAATATTTTCTCCCAATCTGTGGCTTGTCCTCTCATTCTGTTAATAGTCATATCATTTATAGCACTTATTTGTTGTTATGCTTGCTGCCACATTAGACTGTGGGTTACTTATGGGTGAGGATCATGTCACATTCCTCTTTAGTTTCTTAGTGCAGTGCTTGACACACAGTATAAGAAAATAATGTTTAAGGAATGACTGTGTTTGTTAAGTGAGTTATCTAACCCCTTGTACTCAAAGGATGGCCCTCAAACCCATGGGCACCCCCTGGAAATTGTTAGAAATGTAGAATCTCAGCCTTTACCTACGAAATAAGAATCTGCATTTTCACAAGATGGCTCAGGTGATTTGTGAAGTTTGTGGTCTGTGTAGCCTTTAAGAACCCACATCTCCCCACCAGGAGTTAGGTGTGGCAGGAAGCAAATTCACATTCGTAAGATACTCATTTGAAAATTTCTATTTTAGGCAGGAACAGGAAGGGTCTTACCACCCAGCTCAGAAAGTAAAAATGGTGAATGAGAAAGGAAACATCGTTATTTTATAGAATGTTTGTGCTGAACTTGAGAACACAGGAATTGAAAACCCTGTGCTAGAAATCAAGTTTCAGGTTCAAAAGCAAGTTTCTGAGGATTGATCTTCAAAATCAGCCTCTCTTGTGCAGTTAGTCAGGTTGAACATTCCATGTGAATACCTTTATTTGCAAACAATCTATGACTACATACTAGGCACCGACTAGTTTGCTAGGTTCTGAGTTGACATGGCTCATTGAGAAAGATTCCATTCCTGCCTGCCACAGCTAAAGTGCAGATGAAGAGGTAGAAAGTAAGCAAAAAATTACAATCTGAAAGTTGAATTGTATTGCAGAGATATGGGCAAAGTGCTCTGGAAGCACCGTAACTATTAAATTTCTTGTGTTAAGGACCATGTCTTATTCACCTTAGAATCCGTGATCCTGAGACACTGGTGTTTTTGAAGAAACCTAATTAATCACAGTCCTCTGTCTCTATAGGTCCTTAACCATTTGAAAAATAAAGAAGTCAGATTGGAGGGAATATTAATAGGAGAGCTGAACTCACAAGTATGGTGTGGGTCCAAAGACAAAATAAGTTTCCTACCATTCCTCCACCTAAATGCAGCTGGATTTTGAGACCTCTTTATAGGAAGAGTTATTTCTAGAGATACACAGCCAGCCATATGGGAGATGTCACTCTGCCTCAAACCTTCTTAACTGCAAATGAATGAGAGCCACCCGCGTGATGACATCTTCTGTGTCTGTAGGCCAGGGCTCCTTCCCGAGGCTACTGTGGTTGAAAGGGTGAGAGGCTATGCCTATCGCACCAGTCAGTGAAGGGAATCTCTTTCTGTAAGGAGAAGCCTTCAGGAGGCTAGAAGACCCTACTTCAGAGGCTAAAGTAAGAATGTGAGGAAAGCAAAAGAATAATTTCTTCCTAATTTTGGTAAGTATTCATGAATGTTAAATTACAGAATTAAACAAGTTATTACAAAGAGGGAGCACTTGCTTCTTTCAGGGATTCCAATGAAATGTCATGTGTATTTTCTCTTAGAGCTGGGCAAAGGGTAAGAGGGAATCCTAGGTGCAGAGGAGAGCCGTTTTGAGAGAGCATGGCGCCCTCAGAGAATGGCTGGAAATTCGGCGGCTGTAGCATAATTTTCACAGAAGGAGTGACAGAATATGAGTCCAGTATTAGTTGTAATTGTCATTGAAATAGCATGTGGGTCATTACAAAGTGCTTTTGTGAAGATTATGCAAAATATTTGATACTTTGTGAGAGATCTATTGCAACTATTTTCTCTTTAAGCTTCTTGTCTGTCTAAGATGTACATAATTAACATGCTGATATAACCATATGTTTTGTTTTTATTTTAGATGATGTCATTATAAACTTATCCAATTCTTAGTAAAGGTTTAAACAGTTGATAAGTAATTGTATTCAGGATTGGCTAGAATTTCACCAGATTAAAACCTTCAATTTTCTTAAGCTACCTTAAAATAGTTAAAATCATAGCTCCAAACTGAACCACCACACATTGCAATGTTTTTCCAACTTTTGGTAATTTGTGTTTTCTTTGAATGGTACTCAGTGAAAAGACTGGCAAAGGATGTCAATATGCCAATAGATGACAGAGGATGTCAAAGCTTATTTGAGTGATATTAATGTTTAGTATGTCTCTCAAGTTAAGAAGTACTAATTAAATATTATAGTGGATCTCTTCCAAGGAAGTAATCTAAGTAACCATGGAGATGGCCCGTAAGCTGACTGCTTTATTAATTTGGTTCCTATGTTCTAGGGCTTTCTATGGTTCATAACCAATCATTAATAATCACTCCATAATATTTCACCTCTTATGACTCTTGATAACCTGTTAACAGTAATTATGTTTGCAATGATAGACAGCTACCATTTATTGAGTGCTTGTTTGTATGTCAAGCATTATTTTCAGCTTTAAATGCATGACTTGTTTAAGTCTCACAATCACCTTATGAAGTAGGCAGCTGTTGTGCTCCTTCTACAGATCAGAAAACAGGCCAAAACAGTGGTCAAGTAACTTGTGCAAATTCACATGGCTAGTAAGTGGTAGAATCTGAGTTTAAACTTAGCAGTCTGATTCCAGAACCCATGTTATAACTGCAACATCAACTTGAGGAGCAATGGAGAAGGATTTGGGCTGTGCCGGTATTACAAGAAGGCTCTATGATGCCCTGGATCTGTCAGCTGGAGCTGACTTAGCAATATTAGATTAGTCCCTGGGTAATAATGGTCAAATGCTTTCAGTTCTCAGTTTTCAGTTCTGGGCCATCAGCAGAAAAAGGATTGGTACTAGGCAAAGGTCTGAAACTACACTGGAGAAGGTAGTGCACATGCTGATGTCAAGGACAGAGCATAAAATGGTCGTCAGGGTAAGTATGTATAGGAGGATGCAAAAATGGGAAGGCTATAATTAGGAGGTCAGTAAGCCACAGAACAGTGACCAGAGATTCAGCCTGGGGCAGGAGACTGGCACAGGGCCCAGCAGCAAGGGTAGAACTGGGTTTTGAGCCAATTGCATTTGGATGCAGGCATCTCTACCAAAAGTCTTACCCAGGCCTGGCCCCAGAGTGGGGTGGGCTTAAAACTGAAGATAAAAACAGATACACAGACTTGCCTGGGGAAGGGAATTGAGGTATTAGAGAATCTAGAGGTTGCTAGTGACACTGATGGGAGGAGATATGGGGCTCATGCAAACCAAACATTTCTCATCCCAGCTCCATCTCCCTTCCCCTTGAGAAGCATCAGTGTGTTGGAAAAGCCAGTAAGACAAATAGTGATAAAGCCAAAAAAAAGAGAGGCCCAGAGACTAAGAAGTAAAATCACTGGACCAAAATTTTAGGTAAGGGTAAGTTCCATCACATGTGAGTTGAAAAAGCACAGTAGTGGCCATGGAAATATACCACTTGCTAAAACCCATGTATTAGACAAAATGTAGTTTTAACTAGACAAAATGTCGTAGTTTTAACTTCTTTTAGCTGACAACTCTTTAATATATGCTGACCTCATGACATATGATTC